ACATAAACACATAAAAATAATACGATTAAACATTTAAAATACATAAAAAAAATATAAATATTTATATAAGAAAACTAAAAAATTACATAAATATGCAAAAATACATATAAATACATAATGCATAAAAACACATAAAAACACACAAAAAATATGTAAAATACTTAAAAAATATTGTAACATCCATAATTTTTACGCCAAATTTAAACTTTTTCAATCATAAAAACACACAACTAAAGTGTCGGATTTGGTACCGTAGACCCTATCTATATAGTGAGGATAACTCTCATCGCAGATGTCGACTTAAAAGGTAAACTCCAACTCTCAGATCACTTGACACAGACTCCACCACCTATTATCATAATACAACATACTCATAAGTCCTTAACCTTATAAGGTACTCCATAACCAACTAGTCAACCCCTGGTCAAAGTCAAAGTCCTCAGTCAAGGTCAACAGTCCATGTTGACCTTAACTCGCCGAGTACCCTCGGCTACTCGCCGAGTCATCGGGGTGACTCGTCGAGTTCCTTCGATTCTCAATCAAACTTTAAGGCCACCCGTCGAGTTTCCTCCTTGCAACTCGAAGGATACATACGCATACATATCCTGGAGGAAACTCATCCGACTCGCCGAGTTTTCCTTCAACTCGTCGAGTCTATGTCAATCATCATCGGACTCACCGAGTTGTTCCTCCAACTCATCGAGTTCACGACCATCCTCATGTGACTCGCCGAGTCAACCTTGCGAATCGTCAGGTCCATTCAGTCCTTTTTCCATACAAACCTATTTTGAGCCATGCAACGACTCTAAATCACAAATCCAAGCTTCTAGGGCATGCTTATCACGTAAAAACTTTACGTGCATGCATGGCTATAAAGGCTCTAAATGCCTATTTTAAGTTCTCAATGGAGCTTCATGCTCAAAAGGGACCTTAATCATGACCAAAACTATAACTTTATGCTTCTAAATTCCAAGGAGGGTCCAGATCTGAAGTTACAACCTCAGATCTAGCCCATAGATCATCTTACCAACTTAATATTCCACAAAAACCCTAAACTCAACCACTAGAAGAGATCTACAAGGAAAAATGACAATTTGGGTACCTCTAGAAGATGATAACTGAGGTAAGTGTTGATTCCCACACTCTACTTGCTCCAATCTTCTCCTTCCAAGGATCATCTTTTCAAGCTTCAAACACACAATAGGCACACACACACGTATTAGGGTTCTCAAGGAGTCTCTAGAACTGTAAAGAGGCCCAAGGGAGGCTAAGGTTCCTTTAAATAAGGTGCAAAACCCCGGGATTTAGGGTTTCATCTGCCAGTACCTACCCATCGAGTCCCAATATGGATTCGTCGAGTAGGTCACTTAACACACGATCCCACCCTGCTACTACTCGACGAGTAGGGAAACCAACTCGTCGAGTAGGCTTAACTCAAGAAATCTTATGTAAAACAATACCTGATAATCGGGGCGTTACAACTACACATAAATACGTAAAACAATACGTTTATACATTTAAAATACATAGATATATAAAAACATCTATATAAAAATTTTTTAAAAATACATAAATACGTAATACATAAAAATATGTAAAATACTTAAAAATCTATATAATTACGTAAAAAATACGTTTATACATTTATAATACATAAACATCTATATAAAAAGCTTATAAATACATAAATACGTAAAAAATATATAAAAAAATACATATAAATATATAATACATAAAAAATAACACATAAAATACATAAAAAAAATGTAAAATGGTTAAAAATACATATAAATAAGTAAAAAATACGTTTATACATTTAAAATACATAAAAATATGTAAATATTTACATATAAAAACTTAAAAAATACACAAATACGTAAACATAGATATAAATATATAAAAAATATGTTTATACATTATATAAAAATTTTGACGAAATCTGCAATAACGTCTCATTATTTTTGAAAAATTAACAATTTGGTCTTATGACCTGCTGAACAGGTCAAAAGTGCTAAAGTGAATAAATTAGTCAGTTTCTTGGGTTTTTCTATTCAAAATGTAAAAAAGTTATGATTTTTTTGTTCAAAAAAATAAAATTTAGAACTTTATTAAAAATTTTGTCAAAATATTAGGACTTTTCTAGAGATATCCCTCTTATGATGTATCTAATTATAAATTAGATCATATGGCATGATTTTCTACACAAATTTTTTTTATCTAATTATAATTTTTTATCCGATCTAATTGAAACAATTAATTGATTTGGTGTCTAGGTTCTTAAGGTCATTAATAATATTCGTCACGAACGGTTATAGCAGTGAGTGTCACTCAACACTCCATATCAGTTTTTTTAATTAAATTTAATTAAAAAATACAATAAACACATATATTTTAAACTAGGCTTTCATTAAATTATATAAAAAAACATTACATTAACTTAAAAAAAAACACAATTTAAAATAAAATAGAAGAAAACATAAAAAAATTCAAACACAAACAACTACCCTTAATCTTATTTTATTTTATTTTTTTTAAAAAAAAAACAATGTTATTCCATTTTGAGGAATTCTTCAACTTTTGTCAAAACTTTGAGATGTGCAAAACGTTTGTGGTTTGTGTTTTCATATTGATCAATGGTCATATTAATCGGATCGATATTGTCTCCATGCATATTATTTATAACAAAGTTGTAAATTCCATTGAACCCGCAATAATTTACCCTCATATCATGTCACTTTGAATATATTTCGTTGGGATTTCGACTTGTAGAACCCATTAAACTTTGAACTGTACCCTAAAAATCTCTAGAGGTTTGACTATCTTCGTCTTCGGAAACTGACACCCATTAAACCATAAAAACGCTTTGAACTGTTTCCCTAAAGATCTCTAAAGGATGGACTATCTTCGTCTTCGGAAACCGACACTCATGCTAGTGTTAACTTCTCTTCTTCCTCTTCCAACCAATTCACTCTTTTGGGAGCCATGATTTTTGAAAGAACAACACAAATGTATGAATGTGAATAGAAAGAGAAAAGAATTGTATGACATATAAGGTTTGTAGTGGTATTTATATAGGTAAAAATTAATTAAAAAATATAAAATGAAATAAAAAATAAAATAACTGTTGAAAGAAAAGGTTAAATTGTCAAAATTGATTTAAACATGATTGTCCGTTGTGATCTGTGGTTGACATTACCATCGAGCACGACCACGAAGGTTTGGGTTGGTGTGCACGAACCACGGTCGTAGCCACCTACACCACGATGCCCTTCATAGTATGTATTGTAGATGGCCTAACAAGTTAAAAATACTTGTTCAAAATATGTTAGTGCACATAACAGAAAGGAAAGCAGCGATTTGTATACAATATTTGACATCCATACACAATAATGATATATTTTTTATACATATTGTGCAACTCCTCTAAAAATAATTTGTTTTGTTTAAAAAGTGTTGTGTACAAATCGCTTCCCTAGTAAAATGATCTATAAGTTTGACTGATTAGTCAATATTAAAAAAAAAACATTGGTTCACATAAGAGATGAAAACCAAAAAAACAAAACCACACTATGCGGATATTCGAGCTAAAAAAAATTTGCTAACGATATCCAGCATTTTAAAAATACAATATGACAAAATCAATATAGTCTAATATAATAACAATAAAAAAAATACATATCTTTGCACCGACAACCATATTTTTTTAAAAACGATATTTAAAAAGTCCGGTTTTTAAAACATTATACATAAATGACCAAGTTGGAGATTTGCATTTTCGAATTAGAAATGGATTCTCTATCTTATTTTTTACGACAAAATATAAATTTTAAACACATTGATCAAAAGTTATTTGGGTGAGTATCCAAAAGAAAAACATAATAGTAATTTGAGAGTAACTTAAAAATCTTAAAAGCAAAAAAACGATTTAAAAATCAAAGGTGTTGTCCTCCCTTCTTGATATCGAGGGTTCAAGTCCGGTTATGAATGTAGGTGAACTTTAAAAAGTAGTTTAGGAGTATATTAGATTGGTTGTTCAAAAAAAAAAAAACTAACGATTAAAATTTCATATTCATATTCATGTGTTGATACTTAACTAGTGATCATTGGTCATGCAATTTCTGCTCATATTCAATCTCATGCCTTCAAATTTCATATTCATATTTATGAGTGTCAATTTATCTATTCTGAATATTTCAAATTTCATTTCATTTCACATTTTGACAACACTAGTTCATGAAACAAATTAGGGTTTGAGGGAAAATGAACTCCATGAACCTTTTGTTGGATCATAATGGTTCTTGGGAAAATACCTTTTTGCAGAAATTCTATCATTGTATATCAATTTTCTTCTTTGAATGTCACCAGTCTCATGCACACATACATGCACATAGATTGATGATACTCTCTAAGGGGTCATTAAATGCAAGAGATAACAACATACTTTCTTTGATTTGTGTATTGTAGCTTCCTATTTTTCATTTCTTTCTATGAAAGTATGGTACTTGTAATTTTTTGCCTACTAAAGCATTGTACTTCAAAAAATCCACCAAAACAGAGCATTGTAGTTTCAATTTTTTTTTATTAGGAGATTATACTTTGAAAAGTTTACCCAAAGCAAAATTTGGTTTGTATTTAGATGATCAAAGTACAACGTTATAATACATTGCCATTTCTTGCTGGAGTGATTGTTTTAAAAGGAGAAAGGTCTGAACATTGAATGATAGCACTTCTGATTGATTACTATAAGATCTTACACTAAAAGTTAGTAACAATATGTGTAAGCTTTATATAAGTATTAATTATGACTTTCTTTCTTTTTCAAATCATATTTGACCTTTTTGGTAATCTTTTTTAAACAAGTTAGTGAAAAAAAAATGTATTTCCTACAAAAGCTCTCAAAAGCTCATTGCCAAATAGATCTTTACTCATGCATTCTCATATTATTACCCTCATCAGTGGGACAAAAAATGTAAGATTACAAATACTTAAACATAATTATTCCATTTATGAAAATTTTACTTTTTCACCATTTAAAGTAACCAAGAAGACATCAAAAAGTGGAATGTCTTCTCTCATTGCACAAAACAAAGTAACTATAAATCAAAACACGTGTCAGGAATCATTTACATCTAAAATTTATATTTTAAAACACTATGAATAACAAATCATCAACCTCTATAAAACAAACAAAACACACAAAAAAGAAATAGAAACATCAAAATAAATCTAACACCATGCACACCCCTACACACCATGACTATGTCTGAATTCCATTATAAATTATCTACCAAAAGCTCTGTTTTCTTGGGCTAAACGTCGACCTGTAATCAGTAAAACATCAACTCTTTTTCAATTTTAAGACTATATTCAACGATAATAAAAAGGGCATTCTCGTCTTTTGCACAGACAGAGATCGAAATTCGAAAGCGAGTCCCTTTCTTTTTGTACCTTTTTCTTATTTGGAGCTTATAATTAATATATTTCAGTAATATTATATTTATAGTTAATAGCTGGAAATAGTACCATGATCATTAAGTAATAATGATTATGAAATATATCAATCACTGCCAAACCCTTCATAACTCAAGCCTTCTGATATAGTGTCCAACCTTTTACTGTCTCCTGACAATTGATTTTTTTTTTATTCTTTTACTTTAAGTCTTTAAATATATTTATATATATATTTTTTTAAATTCCAGCAAATCATAAACAATACCTTGTTGGATGCCTCCATTCCCATGAGGATTCAAGAAGTCAGTGTCAGATGCTAGGTAGGGTGACTTAGTATAATTGTCCAATATATCTGAAACAAAAATGTCATATTATTATAGTATTTGACAAATCATAGGTTTTTTTCAAAGTAGAATGTGATAATAATAATAATAATTATAATAAAAATAAAAGTACCTGAACTAATGGAGAAGTCAGCTGTTAAATCAGATAGGCTAAAGCTTCTTGGGATTTGTCCTAAGAATCCAAACAATGATGCATCCATTGATTCGTTCACAATCACATGTTTTTGATTGGATTCTTCAGAAATAAAGGAAGGAATAGGGTGTCTTTCTACAACATTATTTGCAGGATTATATAGAAAAGAAGATGCATCTGTATCTACATCTGTATACCCAGATTCTGATTTCATTCCTTGCATAATTCCCATATTTGAATTCTGAGTCATCAGTACAGACAGTTGACCAACAGTTGACTGCTGCATGTTCATGTTCATGTTCATGTTCTCTACCTTCATACCTTGTTGTGTTTGTGTATTATTATTATTATTATCTTGGGAATAGCATGAAGGATTTTGGTGCACTGTAAGTGTAAAACATTAATATTATGAAATTATATCAAAAAATATAAACTTGAAAAAAGAAAAAGAAAAAGAAAAAGGTTTACATAGAGGAACATGAGATCCGTTGGAGACAGGGACTGAAGTTGACATTTGATGCATGAGGTCAGCTTGTGCCTGGAGCAATTTATTGAATTTCATTATTTGATCTTTTACTATTAATCTCAGGTGATAAGCTTTGAAAAAATCTTGATTTTCTTCTTCGAGTTTCTGCCAAACTGAAACATGGAAAATGTGTTACGTGAAGAAATCAAAATGTGGGAATTTGTAGAAAGATTAAAGATGATGACTTTGTATTTAGTAATTAGTATTTAGTATTTACCAAGTTCAGTAAAACTAGGTTCTATTTTGGCTTGATGTAGTAGTGTGCTAACAACTTCCTTTTGGCTCATATAAAGCTGGAGACATCTTTCTATAAGATTTTGTACCTGATAATATTAAATGAGAAAAGTCATTGGAAACAATAACAAAAACAACACTACTTACAAATAACATTTTATTCCATTTCACTGGTTATCCATCTAACTAGGTAAAAATCTCCACTCAAAGATGAAAAATTACTATTGTATCCTCCCACCATTAGAAGTCACAGCTATTGCTGCTTAAAAACAAATTCAAAGCTAGCTGAAAGCAAAGATTAAGCTCAAGGGCTTACCAGTTGTAAATCTTGAGGTGAAACCTTTTTGACTTCTCCACTAGACATGTTTCTTCTATATTGCAATTAGATAAGTTTCTGTGGTAAGAACTAAGGGTTGTTGATGTTGATGCTCAACTTTGCCAATGGACACCTGATAAAAGCTTTAATTGAAAAGAGTATTGAAGTCAAATACATTATTAGATAAGAAGTGCACTTTGAATTTCATATAATGGATAAGAAGTGCATTGAAAAGAGTATTGAGCTCCGAACTTTATTTTAACTTCGAATCTTGTAAACGCATTGGTAATTACAGTAAACCTAATTTTGATTCCTATGAAAAGGATAATGTTGGTGCCATTTTTTAAAACGTATATCAAATTATAGTTCTTATACAAGCTATAAGATCAATTTCACTGATACGCATGATCCTTTTTCTTACAGAAAAACACGAAGGGGGCAAGAGAAGTAGTTGTATAAATTAACAACATATAGCACAAATATGTAAATGAAATCCGATTCATAATATCAAATTCTAGGGTTTAATGATCCACTCCAAAATTTTACAATAAGAAACATAATCACAGCAGCAAAATCAACTAGCAGCAGAGAAATTAAGCTCCTATGAAGATCATATCAAAAAATTTGATGTGATCCATTAATAAGAAAATTATGGATAAGAACACACAGAGTTGCTGTTGTTGTTTGCATGCGATCAGCAGAAAGAACCGAGAACTACATCAGATAAGGGGATTTTTTTTTTTGCTAGAGATCGATCAAATTACCTCAGTAACGCCAATTTGTGTAGCGTTTGTTAGTGGAATTCGCTCCTTTTGTTTCGATCTTTTCCAAGAAACCTTCCTAAAAGCCTTTTGCAGAAGAACTTCTGCATTAAAATAAAGAGGGAAAGGGTTTTACGTTTGTTTGTTTTTGGGCTTTTGGCGTTATGTTTGGATAAAGTCGTAAAATAAGCAAATAACTTCTTGAAGGTGTATTTTGACTATTTTCAAAAAAGAAAGAATAAATTACATGAATGGTCCCTCTGGTTTAGGGTAATTTATACGTTTGATCCATAATTTATTTTTTTAACTTGGAAGGTCCCTACTGTTTGTTTTTGTTACATGTTTGGTCCCTATCTTAACTAAAAAGACTATTTTTTCCTTGATTTTTTAATTTATTTAAATAAACACACCCTCAACCACACCCCTCACTTTACGTTATCTATCATACCATTTTTTTCTATTTAAATAATAGTTTTTTTTTAGGTAAGATAGAGACCAAACGCGTAACCAAAACAAACAATAGGGACCAAGCGCGTAACAAAAACAAATAGTAGGGACCTTCCGAGTTAAAAAAATAAATTAGGAACCAAACGCGCAAATTACCTCAAACCATAAGGACCATTCGTGTAATTTACTCAAAAAGAAAATATCATATATTCATATACTTAGATTAAAATTTTTATTTTTCTCATTTTTCTAATTAATATTCTTGTTTAAGATGATAATGTTAAACTATTTATAAAATATATCATCGAAAATAAACAAAATATACTAACGATCTCTACAATACATAATATAATTAGTTTATTATTAGTTGTTGACTTTAAATGATTTACTTGCAAAATTGTTTATATTGCCATATTAAATAAAGATATTATTAAATACGTAGTAACTTGGAAAAGTCAAAATGCTTTAACTAAATAACTAAAATAAACAAACCGAAAGATATGTCGCTATTTGTGAATTTTATTCTCAGAAATTATATCCTTTTATATAGTAGTAATCGATTGTTTGTGAATGCATAATTATTTTCTTTATTTTCTGTTTCATTTTGCCTTATCTTGTTAATTCTTTTTGAAAAATTAAATATTTTTCTATTTTTTTTATATATACTCCTACCTAATAAAATAGTGATATGTGTAACATTTAATACATATTTAATGAAGTTTAATGATATTTTAGGATATTAATATAATATATATTATTATTTAAATAGATAGGAGGATTGATAAAAACAAAAGATATGATATATTTAATTTCTTAATAGGGATTTGAGATGTTCTCTAGTGCTCAACTTTTAAGTTGCTCAAATTAGTTGTTCATTTTTGTGCTCAACTTTAATCATCAAAACACAACCCTAAATTTGGTTATGTCAAGAAGTGCATACCAAAAAATAATACAATCCAAAATTCCTGACTTTTTGGTTTGAAGTCAAATGTAACCTAATCACATAACTCAAACCTATAGAACCTAATAAAATGATGGCTCTAGTCTAAATTTAACTTTTTATTTATTAGGCCACATCTCTTATATCTTAAATACACTTAATGGTTATGTATTGACCTAACTTCCTTTTACCTTAAATATGACTATATATTTTTTGGAAGACTTATTAACTAATATATATATATATATATATATATATATATATATATATATATATATATATATATTGTTTTTATCACTTTTTATTTTATTTAAAACGGTTCGTTTGTTGACCTAATTAGTTTTTTTAGAGCGCTTACATAGTTAATATGTATTATATTCTTCCATTTGATTTAATTTTACGTTGTATGTAATTTCACCTATGTTTCTAGCTATCATTTCCTTCTTCACCGTTAAAGATGTGGTTGTGATTTTTTTGACTATGAATTTGGCTTTTCTTTTCCACTTTCATTGCATCACCAACATGCATTATGTATATATTTTCAAAACTAAAAAAACATAAGTTTTTGATCTATGGAGGCAAGGGGCAGACAAAATAAATTGATCATATGAAAAGTAAATTAAAAAAAATATAAGCATTTGCAATTGTATTTTCTATTCAGTTACGTATGAAACGTAAATTAAAAATATAAGTTATGTTCAATTTAATAGTTTTATGATAGTGGATCTGGAATTCTTAATTTTTTATATAGTTGATTCATTGTTAGCTATGTTCAATTGAATAGTTTGTTACAATGATTGTTTAAGCTCTTTAATTTATAAGCCGTTAGATTATTAGAATTTGATACGAGGATTTAGTTTTTCGACAATCCTCTTGGATGAAAATAACATCAACAATATATTTTTAGATAATCCTAAGTTATTCAATTCTTTTTGTTTTGGCAAAGTTTTAATCGAGGAAGTGTAATGTAGTAAGAAAGTGTAATGTTTTACTCTTTAGTAATAGTAATACAAACGTTATACTGCATACAAGGTGTTTGAGAAAATTCTTAAGTGAGTTCTTAGCAACTAATATATTAAATCATCTTTACATTAGCTTGATTAATAGTTTAATATTTTCTTGTTTTGACATTAGCTTGACATTTATGCATGTAGGCCATCTTTTGATTTGTTAATCCATAAGACCATAACTAATTAATCTCAAGTTTCATGTATGCCATCTGTTGATTTCTTAATTCGTAAGACCATAACTAGTTAATCTTAAGTTTTATATTTTACGTATGTATGCCATAAGCTAATGAACGAATTTTATGCTACAATGTCATCTTTATGTATGTATGTACTCTGCCATTACTATTTCACTCTTGTCCCAATTTTACCAATTATCATGTTGTAGCACAAACCAATTTCAAATGTTAGCTATCTATTCTGTTGTATCTATGCTTGTTGTTGTTGGCGATTAAGCATGTGTTGTACTATTTGAAGTTGATACTTGATACCTGATGTTGAATGTTTCATTTTGTAAAACATCTCATAAAATTTTATATTTGCCAAAAAAAAAAAAAAAAAAAAAAAAAAAAAAAAAAAAAAAAAAAAAAGGTTAGCAATGTTATAGAATGTAATTGACTTTTTTATATATTAACTAATGTAGGACAAAAATTAAAAAAATATCTTTTCTTTTCATTTTCTTCCAACTCGATAAAACAACTAAGTTCTTTTTTTTTTTCGCCATGGTCAAACCTTGAACCACACGGTCTTTGGTATGGACATGGTTATGTGGCGGTTAGGAAATGTAAGTACTTTACTATTATAAATTGACAAAAATAAAATGCACTGCATATATTAGTAAAAATAACAAAATACGTTGCTAAATATTCAACTAATCTTTGTGATTAAAATAATGTATAGAATAATCGTAAAGTTATACATTATATATACATTTAAAATAAAGAATTCCTGTTAAAAATTATTCTATTACCATTACCAGCCATGTCCATTCCAACCATTCACTATTCCATTCTTATATTACCGTTATTTTTAATTTGCCATACAAGAATGCCCTTTTTATTATTATTGTGTGTTTTTTTTCCCACTCTATTCAATTTTTTATTACATTGTACAAGATCAAAATTTTATCAAATATCTACACATATAATCGGATATCCATACAATTGTTTATCTTTATTTTAATTAGTCATTATAAACTTAGTTACACAACATCTATCTTTGTATATTAATAATTTTTTTGCAAATATTTGATTAGTCATTACAATTTGGAACCATCAAAAATGTTTTTTTTTTTTCTCAACCGCGGTTCCCACAGGTTTAAACCTAATAAATAATATAATGATTAAGATTAAGGCCAGTAAAATAATTAATTTATAGGGTATATTAGAGTATGGTTTAATAGTATACAACAACACCCTAAAATGATTATATCAAGCTTAAATGGAAGAACATACCTCAATTGTTTGAAAGAATACCAAATAACTTCAAAAATTTCTAGCTTTTTTTATCGTTTCTTGCGATTCTGGTAGGCATTCCACACGATTTCTCGAGATCCATCTAATGCATAAGCCTTTATAAATATTTATTGTATTTGCTAACTAGATTTTCCACTAACAATTTGATAAGAAAATTGAAAAAACTTTTACTCCAACACATAAATTTGTATAAAGCTTTTTAATGACTTATTAGGTAAAAAAAACTTTCGTTTAAAAAACTTTTTGCTAGGAGATCATAATTATGTAAATAACTTATTCTAAAAATTAAAAAATGTTTTAAAAACTTTAACTCGAGATGCTCTTACAATTGATACAACCTCCTACTATGGGTGACGTTTTTCTCTTTCAAATTCCATAGTATTCATACCCTTATCTATATTATTAACCATTATACTAAATTTAATCCACAATATATATATATATATATATATATATATATATATATATATATATATATATATATATATATATATATATATATATTTTATAGTTATTTGAGTTATCACATACATTTTATATAGGGATAGATCAGTTCCAAATCCGAACCGACCCTACCCGATCTGGAACCGATAATTAGAAATTCAATAAACTAAGAGCACAACCGATTTATAATTAGAAATTCAAGAAACTAAGAGCACAACTGATTTATATATTTAGTTCATATATGATTCGGGTTTGGTTCTATATTTAATTTCCTTTGTATTGGCTTCCGCACATCCCTACGTTTCATATTTGCATCACATTTAAAGATTTGGTGCGAACTAGAAACTAAAATTTTCATCACTTGTGTCATTGCATTATATAAAAATTATTTGTATTATAAAGATCTTGAAACTTGAAAGATACTATGTAATTACATTAATTGAAATTAATATCCCAACCCGTTAAACACAATGTCGCACAATACAGTTAACTTATAGCGATTGACATTTCCAATCTTTGATCGTGCTTATATCGCACTTAAATCGAAGATGAACAAGATTGATCATTTCAATGTCAAAGTTGTTTGTCTAAAAAAAAGTCAACACAAATTCCCATAAGGTTATGAGCTTCAACATCTCATTTTCACCATGAACATGCAAATCCCATCCCGACTTTATCCATTTTGTCAATGAATCTTCACTTGGAGGTAAACGAGATGTAAAAAAGTTGACTTTGACTCAATTGACGTTGACCTTTACTTAATGTTATCTTGTTACAAATTCTATTTTCAAGTAAAACTATGTATAGTCTTGAGATGCGCTGATCTCTCATTGCTCTTTACAAACCTCAAAGTAAAAAAGGTGGGTCAAAGAAAAGTAATTCAAAGTCAAAATTGAAAAAAAAAAGTCAAATTAAAAGAAGACTATTTGGCAATTAGTCAAATCTACAATATGGCCACCATTGAATTTGGGTTTTGTTTTGTCTCGTAAGATCTCCATCTTCCATGGATTTTCTCTTGTTCCCATTTGATTGTTGTGTCGATTCATCTTCTTTAGTTTCCAATACATTTTGTTCTTGATGTTTTTCGTGTTCTTGATTATATTGATGATCCATATGATCAATTTCTTTGATTTTGGTTCTCATCATATGAGGTTTCAATTTGTTTACATCCGATAATCTAACAGGTTTCAAGAAAAATTCTTCGGCTCCTTCTTCTAAACATCTGTCAAGTCGAATTTATATTATTAACGAATTTATATTATTAAGGAATTTATATTATTAAATAAATAACATATAAGTAAAATATTTGTATTCTTTTTTACTTTACAAGATTGAAGTTATTACCTACTAATCCTTGAAGGAACGTTCTCCGATGACATGATGACAACCGGTATATCTTTGAAGGATGAAGATTTCTGAAAAATAAGTAAATAAATAAACATTAAAATAAGTAAATAATATGTTTTTTTAACAAATTACATCTCATATAATTGATATATTTATAAAAATTGTTAATTATATGAGATAAATGAATTATACCTTAACTTTTTTGAGCAAATCATAGCCTGTCATTCCAGGCATACAATAGTCGGTAATTATCAGATTGACTTCCACTTCCTGCAAAATAGAGTTGCAAATTCGTTGGCAAATCCTTTCCAAAACAATCAAATACGTCAAAAATTCAATCGAGAATCCTTCAAATGCATACCTGATTGATATTTGGAGATACAGAGGGTTGATTTAAGTTATGAATTTCATCATCTTCTTCATGTAATCCTAGAAATTCTAAAGCCTTACTTCCAGAATCCACAGTCGTAACTGAAATAGTGAAATCGCATCAACATTTATTTACATTGAGTCTCGAATTCATAACCATTTGAATCGATTCGAATTGGATGAATGAAAAGGAGAAGAAATAATTAGTACCTTGAAAAGATGAGGTTTTGAGTAGTCTTTCAATCAGTTTTCTATCAATGATGCTGTCATCAACAGCAAGAACATGAAACTGTGAATCTGCTGCAACACCCATTATAACAAGATTTGCAGATCTCAAATCGAAGAAGATGATGAAGAAATTAACCAAAAAAAGATGGGTTTGGTTTCTTGATGAGGGAAATGAGGAAAGATAGATGTTTTTATGTGAAAGAAAAGACCCACACAACCCACAAAGCAAGATCTTCGTCCAAAGATCTTCCACCTCTTAATATTTTTGGATTATAAGGCAAGCAAGGGGAATAGTGTAAGGGGCAAATTGGCAATTTTATATATAAAAAAATCAAATAAAGAAAACACCAAAATCTTGGATGTTTACATTGTAATCAAAAAGATTCCTTAAGTGTTTGGGTTTATCTAAATCATTCACATGGTAAGCTGTGATTTTTCCAAATCAAGAAAGATAATGACTGAATTTATAAACTTTAGATATTGATTTTATAAATTGTGATATTTTACATTTGGACAAACTGTTAAAATGTACAAAGGTACATAAAAAGGACACATGAAATTGGTATTGACATTGGGTTTGAGTTTGACATGTATTTGTAATATAATTATTTATTTAAATTAGTTGTCTAAAATATTTTCAATATGGAAAATATAGGCATAGGGATTGGAAGAAAGGGGAAGTGGTGGGGCCCACAAAAATCCTGAGAAGAGATACAGGTGATGTAAGTTGTGAAATCATGTGCACTTACCATATCTTGGGCAGGTGGGGGTGGGGTGGCCACCTCTTATTTTTCTTTGATTCCCTTTTACAGATTTGCTTCCCATGGCCATCTATCTATGCATGCATCCCATCCCATCCCATCCATCATCATCATCATCATCATCATCATGTCTATGAGTTAGGTGTGTTCGCGGTGCGGTTTGGTGCGGTTTCGAGTCGAAACCGCAAACCACATCGCATGTGCGGTTTGAAATTTTAGAAAACCGCAAACCGCACCGCGAAGGTTCTAAACCGCGTTATGTGGTGCGGTTTGGTGCGGGCGGTTTGTGCGGTTTTTTCCGGTTTATGCGGTTTGAAAAATGATATGTATTTTTAATATTATGTACATAAAATTTATACATAAATATATTAGTTATAGAATCAAGATAAGTTGGTTTTGCCAATGTTTTAACAATACTAGTCATTGTTACATTAGAAAATCAGATAAATAATCTATCACAAATTTGTTTACAAAAATTGAAATTGGTGATATCAAAATTCATTAGTAATAAAACCAAATTCGTATCTTCTGTGTAATTTTTATGTGTTTGTATTATATATATATATATATATATATATATATATATATATATATATATATATATATATATGCGGTGCGGTTTGAACCGCATTGTTATAATTGGAAACCACAAACCGCACCACATAATGCGGTTTAACAAAATTTCAAACCGCAAACCGCATCACACTAGTTCTAAACCGCATTAGGCGGTGCGGTTTGGTGCGGTGTGGGCGGTTTATGCGGTTTGGTGCACACCCCTACTATGAGTACATCTCATCCTCTTGTAAGTCTTGTATATATTATGCATGCATATATATGTTAAATTCAGCATTTACCCAACCGTTGTTTACAAGTTAATCACAAGTAAAAAAAAAAAAAAAAAACAAAACAAAAACAAAACAAAATATTCGTAAACTACGTCCATGACCATCAGTCACTGTATAACTATTTTTTAATGTATTTTACAATGACCATGATATATGAAATGTCTATTTCAAACATACGATTTTGGATTTGGAAGTTATCATTTGGGTGAACATTTTTTCTTGACTAAATTACACGAATGGTCCCAATGGTTTAGTGTAATTTGTGTATTTGGTCTCTAACTTATTTTTGTAATTCGGAAGGTTCTTATTGTTTATTTTTGTTATGCGTTTGGTCTCTGTTTTATCTAAAAAGATTATTTTTGCATTGATTTTTTAATTTATTTAAATAAACACACCCCAAAACCCAATCATCACATTATCTTATTTATTTCATCATTTTTTCCTATTTAAATAATAATATTTTTAAATAATACAGGGACCAAACGTGTAATAAAAACAAACAATAGGGACCAAGCGCATAACAAAAACAAACAATAAGGATCAAGCAAGTTAAAAAAAAAATTAGAGACCAAATGCATAAATTACCTCAACCCATAGAGACCATTCGTGTAATTTACTCTTTTTTCTTGGATAAAATTATAGAAATGGTGCTTACCGTTTATTAAAAGTCATAAACGTTTCTATTATTTTTTTACTAACATTTCCGTTTCTAAAAATTTACATGGTTGCTCATTTAGGGGGTGTTTGTTTTATCTTTTCAACCAATTTTTAGATTTTATCTTTTCAAAAAAGTTAAAAATGAGGCAAAAGAAATTTAGAAAAGGGAAAAGATCTTTTAAAATCAACTTTTCAGAAAGAAGGAAAATGAGCATTTGGAAAAGTCATCTATGTGTGACTTTTTGGAACTTTTGAAGCCTTGACACTTAAATTACTCATATACCCCCAACTACCACTACCCTAATCAATAAGCCTTTGGAACTTTTAGTCATTTTATATGTAAAAGTTAAACCAAACACATTTTAAAAACAACTTTTGACTTTTGTTTCTCAAAAGCTAATCCAAACACATTTTTAAAAAACATCTTTTGTAATAAATCCTTTTACAAAAAGGACTTTTGAAGGTAAAAAGATATCTCAAACACCCCCTTAGTATATGAAATGACTTCTATATCTTTTTTTTAATCTTTTCTTTTTAGTTAATTACAATTAAACAAAATAATACTAATAATACTAATAATAACAATAATATATATATATATATATATATATATATATATATATATATATATATATATATATATCCTTATTTTTCTCTCTTACTCAGATAACTAGGTATAAGACTCATATATATTACATGTAACGCCCGGGTTTTCAGGGCTAAGCATTTTTGTCAATGTAATAGTCTAGGTCAACTATTGTAACTCTTTTTGAAGTAATAAATATGAAATATTTGAGTATTATGTGAATTATGTGTGTTTATGTGTTTATTATTTAATTATAAATGTATAATTAATAAAGAATAAAAATGAGCGTCAAAATTAAAGTGTGAGATAATCCCGATATCTCTACATAAAGTTGTAGAATATGTCTCAAGGTTTCCGTGCATATAAAGAATGCCGAAATCCGAGCTATAAAGAAGAAGTTATGGCCCGCCGAAGTTTTACGACAAAACCGGCACGACACCGGGAAACGTAAATAGTGAATTTACGATAGAAGACTTTTTAGCCTTAGCAATCTAAACAAAAGTCGTAGAATATGTTAAACTAAGAACATCGATAAAAAGAACGCCCAAATCTGACTTCGTATGAAGAAGTTATGATTTTTCTAAGATTCGGCTTAGCAGTGCACGGCCTGAAACTCGAATTTTAGTTCGAGCGGTTTTTGGCTTACGCAACATAAATGAGAGTTGAAGATCTCATTAATAGGAAATCAACGGTAAAAAGACAGACAAAAACAGAGTCCGTATGTAGAAGTTATTAATTTTACGCAGACGTTTAACAGTATAATCTCCTTGTACTGTTAAATTTAAGATCGGTCGAGAATTAGCTGACGGTGTCAAAATGAAAGTTGTAGATCTTATTATTACCTACGCGTGGATATAAAGAACGTCAAAAACGGAGGTCGTATGTGAAAGTTACGGATTTTAGAAGTCGGAAGTGTGCTGTGCGAAAATGGGTGATGTGGCACAATCTTGGCCATTGCTTTCTCCCCAAGGCTTGCCACCAGATGGTGACATGTGGCACCAAGTTCAGCCACATTTCACCCTATAAATACCACCTCTCCCACCCTCATTTTCTTCACACCTTTCCCATTCTTTCTTCTCTTTACTCTCTCTCTCTCTCTAGAACCTCTCTCTAGCCCCGAAATCCCCCGAAAAGCCTAGGGAACCTCCCTAGCACGAGGCGGAAGCCCCGGAGTGCTCGAAGGCTCTGAGAAGAAGAGCTTTTCGGCTCGGGAACGCTGCTCCAAGCAAAGCCCGGTTTTCTATAAAACCCGCTGTAAGTGAGCTACGCCTACGCTATTTTTAATATAACTTTTATTTAATTATAGTAACGTTATTAGGAACTTATAATAAATACTTGGGCTATTATTATGGGTTATATAAGTATTTTTTTGACGCTTATATAATAATAATAATAGCTAGACTATTAATTAGTCTCGACGAATAATAAACTAAACTCTAGTGGTAATAATACTAGGTTTCGTCGAAGAAAAATTCTTTTTAAGAAGCGAAGCGCTGTCTGAGTTCGGAATCACCACCTTTTCCGGTGAGTGCATAGTTACCTTCAACTTACACATAGATATGAAGTATTTTATATAAATTACGTGCTATGTGTGCATATTATCTGAATACTTGCTATCTATGCTAGATGAACGTTGTTATACATGTTTTCAATGATTTAAACTGTATATGTATTTTATATCTACGAAAATGTTGGGGTAAAACATGGGTAGATGTAATAGGTGATGTGTGATAAAATGATGAGAGGCCTCGATGTTGTTGTTGTTGATCCAGTCATCTAGCGGAGTATAGATGACGACCACGGACTCTTCTAGACAGTCCAGTGGAACACTAGCAGGCTCGCAACCTGTAGGTGTTGTGAACGATGTGTTCACCGGTGTACTCCATCCCCCACATGGTTGCCTATTAGGACATTTATTGCTGAGGAATCCCCTTAGCAGTAGTGTCCGTCCCGATGATGATCCTTAGGCTAGGTCCCTTATGATAGGTGTTTAGGGACGTAAAGTGAGGATAACGGGAACGGGTAATCGGGTTATTGTTGATTGATGAAATTAATAAACTTATTTATTGTGGGTTGAAAACCCTATGTGCTCACCAGGCTCCCAAGCCTGACCCACTCAGTTTTATGCATTACAGGTAGTGGCGCATGAGCATAGGTGTGATGTTTTGGACGAGGGATTACGGATATAGGCCTGTAGATATGAAATAATGTAGTAAGGCTTATATTGTACTGTTTATACTTTTGATCTGTACGAACATGACATCCCGAGTCTTTTAATGAAATACATTTCTATGGAAATGCTTTTGATAAATCTTTATCATATTATTGTTTTGGGACAAATTCCGCAACCCTTTTTTAAAAGATAACTCTGATTTTGAAATAAAGTATAAACAAAACCGGTCTTTTCTGGCCGTGATTTTGGGGATGTCACAGTTGGTATCAGAGCATTAGTTTAAGCGAACTAGGAATTTGTAGGATTTCTAGACTTAAACTTAGAATGCTAAGCGATGATTGTGAGGTGTGAGCACTAGCTTATTTTAGGAATTGTGCCTAAAATGCTTTTATGTGCTAAATGTTTTATGCATGATATGCTGTTATTTTGTTCGGGATCTATGGTCTGTTGCCGACCGGATCTGGAACCTTATGTGTTTAGGATTCTAAACGTACGACTACGATATTAGAACTAGCATGTAAACGTTTCGGAGTGATAAGGACGATTTAAAACGTCTCTCCTAAATAAAGATCTAAATCCACCTTATTCGGTATATAGATCAAGATGGTAAGGACCCGTAGCGGAAACGTAAACGCAAATGGGAACGGACACCAACCCCCCGTGATCGAGCAAATACCAGTTGTGGAAGCCGCTGCCGGACCAATAACGATGGCCGGAGTGCAAGCGATGATCCAGGCAATGTTGGATCGTCAAATGGAGGAAACCAGGCGTTTGCTCCAGCAAAATCGAGAGGAAGCGACTATTCAGCT